AAGGAAGAATTAGTTTCTGCGGTTGGAAAACCTCTGAACGGGAAGAGTCTTTAGAGGATGAAAGTTGTAGAAGAAGTTACTTCTGCTCCAAAGAAATTCAACACTGAAGAGGTCACTCAAAGAAGAGTTCCAGTAGAAAATTTTCCTATGTTATTTGCTAATGAACCAAGGGAGATTATTCTCGATTACATTACAGAGTGTTTGAATGAAGGAATTCCTCTACCAGCAAATCTGGTTCAGAAGGCAGGTGAACCTGCTCCAGATCTCTATGAGGCCAAACACAAGAAGAAGAGAAAGGTTGCTTCAGAAGAACCTTCTAAACCCAAGAGGAAGGCTACTGGTGAAGTTGCTGCTGTCAAGCCTAAAAGGGTCAAGAAGCAAGAGGTCAATCCTCCAGAGGCAAGTCTAGACGAGATTCTGGAAACTGTCAAAGAGGTATTAACATCTGATCAAATTCTTCATAAACCTATACCATCACCTTCACCTTCTCCTCCTCGTGTTTCTAAATCTAAGAAACCTTTTGTTACAACTTCTTTTGTACCCCAACCTATAGCAACTCCATCTGAAAAGTATACATCTGAACCAACACATTCTAAACCATCTGATATTCCCCCATCTGACAAACAAACACCTGCACCACAATCATCTGAAATTCCCCCACCAGAACCACAAACTTCTAATCCACCAGAACCAACACCAGCAGAACCAAACCAACCAGAACCAACTCCACAAGAACCAGAACAACAACAACCACAACCAGAATCTATCCAACCATCTGAACCTTTAATACCTGATTCTGTAGTCCTAGATATTCAACCCTTAACTACTTTGGTTGAACTCTCTTATACATCCTGTCATTCATCTGAATCATCTGATTCATCTGAATCTGACCTACCACCAGAAGTTTATTCACCACCATCTCTCTGTGGCTATGAACCCAGAACTTCTGAGTTTGCATCTTTTACTTCTTTTAAACCCTACCACTCCATATAAACCTAGTTCTTCAACTATTCTTCCATCTGTTCTTCAAACCTATCTTAAACAACAACTAGATATCATTCCTTCAGAACCTCTGCTTTCTCAAAACTCTGTTTTTACTCCCTATACCTCTACACCTTTTGATGTCATTCCCTCTGCATCAAATTTCACCTCATCATCTGAACATCCCTCTTTCCCTTCTTATCCTCGTCCTCTGTTCATCATCCCAACTTTTACCATAACACCTCCACCAGAACAACCCAAACCAACACCTCTGGAAGCCTACCTTAAACCCAAATCCAGATTAGATGTTGATGCCTTATTTGCTAGTTTCAAGAAAGAAATAAGGATGAGTTTGAATTCTGTTCAAGAGGAATGTCTCTCAAGAATTAATCCAGAAGCTTCTAAAGAATGCTGGAATAAGTTCACCTCTAGATTCAACACTGTTGCTTCAAATCTGAAGAGTGTCTGCCCTGATGATGCGAAGATCAGATTCGCTGAGATTACCAGAACAATGCTTTGGAATGTGACCAGATCTCCTACATTGCTTCTTGAGGATGCACCTTCATCTTCTTGAGTGTCTGCTACTTCTGAGACTCTTGAAGGATCTGCTTTTGAAGTCATTCTGGAAGAGAATCCTTTAGCTCTGATGATTATGGACAAATCATCTGAATCTGTGCCTCCAGAATCTGCAACTGCAATGGATATTGACTCTGCTCCTACTCCTGCATCAGAATCTGCTCCGTCTACTTCTTCTGAGATTAAGAAAGAAAACCCAGACTTAGAAGACAAGATTGTTGTGCTGGAAGCTGGTCAATCTGAGATAAAATCCTAGATGGCAAGGCAAGATTAGAAGACTGACAGTATTGAGAAATGGATGTCCAAGCAAGAAGAATCTTCTTCTGAGATAACACACCTTCTGGAGATGCTTCTCTCCAAACAATCTTAGCTTTATGTTTTAATCTGTTGTTTGAGCACTTGTTTTGCATTTCTCATCTGATGTCTTTCTTATCTGAATATTTGAATGAATGAATCTATGAATGTTTTCTCTATATGATTATGTCTTTTCTCTCTGTTTCCTTTTATTTGTCTTTATAAAGTTTCTTTTTGATTATGACAAAAAGGGGGAGAAAATGAAATTCTGAGTATTTAAATAAACTTTACCTGAATGGAATTCAAACATAGCAAATCATAACTAACATGAATTTTTTAGTCTTTCAGAACTATAATGATAAATCTGACTAATTTCTTTAAAGTAACTCTGAGATCTCTAGATCAAGTTTTAACCAATCAGGCTCTGATTCTGAAACGTTCATCTAAATCTAGCTCTGATTCTGAAAAGAATACTCATGCAAAAAGGGAAGTTTCTACTCTTTCTCAGTATTCAATTCAGGGGGAGATTCATAATCTCAAGGGGAGTTATATTTATCTCTTTATTGAACAAAATTTCCTATGTTTTTGTCATCATAAAAAAGGGGGAGATTGTTAGAACACAGATTGGTTCTTAGTTATATCTCTATGTTTTGATGATAACACTAATGAAATTTTGTATTAAGAAATTATATACTCTAAATTTGTTCAAGTATTTTTGCTGCAGATATTAAATTTAATATTCTTCTGGAAGCAAAAATGAATCTGAACGTTGAACTACGCAAGGCTCTGAGCGTCAGAAGCATCTAATTATAAGACTCTGAGCGCTGCCTACAGAAGACTCTGAGCGCTGCCTACAGAAGAATCTGAAGCAGAAGTTACAAAAGCATCTGAAGCGTAAACTGAAGACTTTGTATGAAGAGTTTCAAACACTGTTTTTCAGAAGACTCTGATAGTACTGTTCGTTGCAAGTACTGAGGATCTGATCTCCAAACTCTGCTCTGATTAATTTCACGCTGAAGCACACTTGCTGCAATACTCTGATACAGCAAACTCTGATGACATCAAGACTCTGATCACTCAAGGCTCTGATGTTGATTGCTGTGAATTAGAAACTTGTTGAAGAAGATTATTCAAGTTATATCTGTTGGTATACTCCAAACGTTTTTTTCCTCTTCTTTTCTAGACACAAGAACTCAGGCAAAAAGGATTTCTCTAAACGTTCTACTTCTAGGAAAGGTCAAGTCATGTGAAGACAAAAGGGTACAGCTACTTTGCAGTACACGGTCTTCAAGCTTGCAACGCCTTGGACTTCTTTATCTATAAAATAAAGCCTTCAACAACTTTCTACAGTTGACGAACATTGACGTATTTTGACAAATTCATTGAAAACTCTCTCAAAGCTCTCATACAAATTATTATTCTTTGTTGAATAGTTTTATACGTTCTTAATCTTAAGTGTAAAAATCACAGTTGTGATATAGCTTTCTTAGAAGCATTTCAAACACTTGTTTAGTTTACATTTGATTGTAAAAGTTCCTTAAGAAGACCAAGTTGTGGTCAGTAGTTCTTGAGAAGACTAAGAAAGCTGTTCTTAGTGGTTGACATTGTAATCTGTTTGATTATAGTGGATTAAGTCCTTGTGGAGAAAGGCAAATCACTCTTGATAGGGTGGACTGGATTAGTTGAGTTCAACGAACCAAGATAAAAATCATTGTGTTTTTATTGCCATAATATTTGTGAAAACCCTTATTCAACCCCCCCCCCCTTCTAAGTATTTTCTCACCTTCAGCCTTAGTGTCTATAACCTTGGAAGAAGAAGAAGTGAGTTTTTCTTGGGCTTCCTCCAAATCTTTGTCAACTTTAGCCAAAGAAGGTTTAATGTTTCCTAGGGTTTTCTCCTTCTCTGGCAATGACCTTTCTAAGAGGGTGGTGACCTTTGCAGCAAGTTCGGAAGGAACACCGTGCTCCCTTATCCTTTTGAAGACGAGGGAGTTATTTCTAGAGTTTGTTTAGCTAATAAACAACAAAGTTGTACTAACCCTTAAGAAACTCATTCTTTTTCACTAGATTGTCAGATGCCAATACTTCGCCCAAACCAGAAGATCATATAGACATCAAGGAGGCCCTCTAATACAAATCGAATGTTTTTCCTACCATCAACTCTAGCTTGTTTGTATCAAATAGATTTTGAATGTAGGCATAGTCTTCTTATGGTAAACAAGATTGAACTTCCTTGGCCATGCGAGGCTTCCGGGCCAAAAAAAACTCCGAAAGTGAAAAATCACAAAGGTTGTTCTTATTTATATCCATAGTAACTTTCTTAGGGATGGGCCACGAGAACTTAGAATTTTTTGTTCAATTTTCCTCGAGCTGGACCCTTGTCACAATCCCCCATGGCAGTTTCACTGGCATAAGACTTTGACCGGTCATGTGACTTTTGCTTTGGATTTCTGAAGATGGACGCCCTTGATCCAACTTATTCTCTTGTTTGACTTGACCCAACTGTATTTTCCCCACATTATCGTCCTCCTTGGTTGCCCCCTTCATTGCCTCAGTCGGGTTCAAAGTGGAGTTCGAAGAGGGAAGTGAAGATGTATTCTTCACTGCATGAGTCATCTTTCTCTAAAAGATGTCACAAAACCAACCCCTTGTTATCTATAAGACAAAATGAATAAGACAATCAAGATGAATACTATAGAAAATGAACAACAAAGAAAAAATAAAAGACAAATTCACCCTTCTCACCAAAAATATTTTTCTCTCTTGAGCATTAATTGTTTCTACAACTGACTGCATGTTAATATACCTCTTTTTGTATTCAGTAGGCAACACTTCAAAGGGACTGACTTCATTCTATAGCCCAAGCTCTCCCAAAAAGTGAATAAATCTTCCTTCAAAACCCATTCCTCCGAGGTTAAAGTGTCAAGAGAAAAATGCATACTTTTTTAGAGGTTGGAAGAAGTGGTATCAGACATATCATTTTCTAATTCTATTCTCACCATGATTTTAAATTGCAGTTGCGGCATCGGTTGCGGTTGCAACCACTGCGGTTGTGGCTATTGCGTTGTGGATTGCGGTCGTTGCGGCGTGAATTTATTTTTTATCAATATAAAATAGTATACTTCATTATATGTATTAGGTTTCACATGTCATTTATTGTTGCTGATTGATGCAATCGTTGTAGTGTTATGATGCGGTCGTTGCAGCGTTATGATGCAGTTTTTAGTATGATTTACAATCACACTGCAATTGTGGCTTGATGTGGATGCAAACACTACTGCAACTTGATACGGCCGCAATTTAAAACGATAATTCTCCCATTTGTCAGCTTCGAAGAAGAGGATGTGAAGGGAAATGGTTGGCTTCAGAAAAAACACATGATGTTGTGTGAAGGAATCAATATCTTGACATAAGCCAAGAAGCAGATCTTGTGCCACTCCACCTGGTCGTATGAAACTGGCATGCATCCTGGCTCCCGAGACTCTTTCATAGAATTCCAACAATTTCTCCCGTTCCTCAAAAGCCCACAGGGACGGAGTTGATGCTCCCACATCCATAGCATGAGTAGTTAAAGCAACTGAATGATTTGAAATTTGACTTATTTTACAGAATAACACTCGTATATATTAAGCTCGTAATGACACATGACCTTCTTGACTTTAAAAAGTGATTAAGAAATAAGATTATTAAAATAGTTTCAACAATTAAACTAAACATTATGAAATAACGGTTATTAAAATAATTTTAACAATTAAAGTAAACATTAAATAACTTTTTTAACCGACATTTTTTAATCTTTTTATACGTTCTTTTATTGGCTTTTTAAGATAGATTTTTTTAAGTTATGATTGTTATTCTCTTTTTCATTTTAAATTATAAATTTTTATATCTTTTATTTGACTAATATGTTTATCTATTTTTGATTTGGGGTTTAGAAAATTTTCCATTTTTAGATTAAACCCTTAACTATTTTGTGTGTTGTGTTTTTTATGTTGTCACTCAAATTTTCTCTCATTAGGTTATTGGATATTAGGTTTTTCTCAATACTATATTTTTTAATTATGTTCTTCATTGGAATAAAAGTATTTAATGTAGTTGGATGAACTTTTCACTAAATATAATTTTTAATTAAATATAACTTGAGATTATTTTTTATAAAAATTTATAAAATTTAAAAATATTTTTTAGAATTTAACTAAAATAAATAAAACACTAATTTCGTTAAGTCAATTAAGGCAATTCAGTTTTGTTTAAATATCTAATATATTCACTTTTAAAGGCTAATATTATAGACATAATAATAACAATAATAAGATTTTTTATTTTTGCACAACAATTATAAATAGCAAACAAAATAGACAACAACAAAAAAATCCAAACAAACTTATGATTACTAGTGTTTTTTATTCCATATAACAAAGTGCATAACTAATACGTTATACACACGATATTGAGTACACACATAATTCACAACGACGCAGTACAACATAGAGATGCAGTCGAAGCTAGTTATACTGCATATTATTTTATTTATTCATATCTCAGTTTTATTTATACATATAATGTCCCTGCGTGTTGGAGAAAAGTGATTTAACATTTTCGAGTGCACCAGCAGCGAAAATCATCCCTGCACCTCCCACTAAGTAAGTGCTCGTTGTTCTTGCAATGTTTGTTACAGTTACCGTCTGGGATGCATGGTCCCTTGAATGTGCCAGACAAATTCTCACAAGTTTTTGCCTCACTCACCGCTATTTCTTCTGCATCAAAACATACCAATTAATACAACAAATATTAATTATGAAGTAATTATGAACAATATTAAACTAAACTAAGCATTGATGATTACTTACGTGCAACAAAGAGAACGAGGAAGAGGAAGGACAATGCGGCTACTGCTTTCTTCTCCATGGCTTAAGTAGTGATATGAATATATAAACTTATGATATGACTCACTTTAACACTTAATATGTTATGTGTGTTTGATATATATGTGAAGATCGGAAGAGATATATATAGCCCCAAGGGGCTTGACTAGTAAGAGTTTTTTACTAATTTACTAACATATCTTGAGAATGAAAATTCAGAAGATTGAAGAAACCGCAAGAAGTGGATACGTGGCAACATATTTTATCACTGAGTTTGAATTGTCATGGTGAAGAGTCAACATTGTGGGGCGTTTTTCTGTGGAGCTTATCAATAAAATAAATGACAATATTAGACACAATTGCAACATAGTAGTTTATTTTATTTTTTACTAATGAAAACGATGGCGTGAATGAATTTTAGTTTTTAAAATTTAAAAACTACATTATCGATTAATTTTAAAAAATTATTTGAAAAAGGAAAAATAAAATAAAATATGTTTAATAGTTTTATTTTTTATAATTATTTTAAAGATGAAAAAATAAAAAATAAAACTCGTTTAATAGATTCAATTTTAAAATATATTTTAAAAATTAATAAAATAAAAATTCTTTATTCGTATTTCAGATTTTAATCTAGATATAATTTAAAATATTTATAATGTAATATTTATTATTAAATTAAAATGTAAAATTCATGATATATGTTTAGGATACTTTTTAATCAATTATATTTATATACGTGGATTGAGTACTAGACTAATCATATTAACATCTTATATGCTCTATATATGCATTAATTATCTTATATTTGTATTCTTAGTATGAACATCTAACAAACATACCATATCCTACCGTTCAAAGATTTTTTAATTTAACAACTCATTAGATTTGATCAACATATTTTTGTGACGTGGCGATGTTTTTTTATTTCTTTTATTCTTTTAATGTGACGTATTTATTTTGTTGGAATTTTTTTTTTAAATTATATGTGTGACATTTTTACTATTATTTTATTATTTGTGTGTTGAAATGTTAAAATATCAAAAATTAAAATTTTGTTCCCAAGTATTAAACGCATGACAGAATACTTGCAAATGGTAAGTCCTTCCACTATGCTGCTATATTTTTTTTTTTATTGTTTGTTAATATTCAATATAAACTAAATTATATTAAATAATAAATTTAAAATTTATTTAATATTGAATTGAGAGTAATTTTTTTAACGTCTTAACTAAACTCATATTAATAAAAAAATTAAACTGAATTAATATTAACAATTAAATTCTTATAAAATATTAATATTAATGTTATAATATGTTAGTAATATATTTAAATAAATATATTAAATTAAATAAAGACATTAATTAAATTGAAAGTAAAAATTAAATAAATAAAACATATTAACATATTAAGATATTAATATTAATTTCAGTGTTATTATTTAATACATGAAAGTGTCTAAATAGTTTATAAGAAATCAATATTGTATTATATTACTTATATTGATTATCTTAGTTATCTTAATTATCTTAATTTATCTTTATATTAAATTTTAATAAATTAAATACTAAATAAATTATTGAATTTCATTTAAACTTTCAAAATTAACTTATATCTTTATATTAATATATTAATATTAATTTCAGTTTAATATTAATGTTTTATAATATGTAATATGTTTTAGTTATTTAATTTTTACTTTCTGTTTAATTAACATATTAACTTAATTGGATATAATCATTTAAATATATTATTAATATATTATAATATTAATATTAATATTTTACAATATGTTAATTATTAATATTAATTTAGTTAAAACGTTAAAAAAATTAATTTAATTTAATTTAATTTATATTAATATTAGTTTAGTTCAAACGTTAATATTAATTTAAATCAAAATTATTTAGTTTATTTTAGTTTTTTTATCATTTATTATTTAATATAATTTAATTTATAATTTAGTTTATAAACCGAAACATACTATTAATTAGTTTAGTTTTACCATTTATTATTTAATATAATTTAGTTTAGTTTTTTATTAATATTAATTTAATATAAACCAAAATGTTAATATTAATATTAATATTTTATAATATGCTAATTATTAATATTATTTAATTTATTTTTGTTACTAGTTTTAATTTAGTTAAAACGTAAAAAAAGATTACTTTCAATTCAATATTAAATAGATTTTAACATTTATTATGTAATAAAATTTAGTTATATCAAAAATTAAATTGAAATAAAATAAATAAAATAATTAATTTAATTAAATAAATAAATAATTGAAAGTAAATAAAATAAGTAATAAATAATGAAGTGAAGTTAATTTCAATTTTATTAAAATTATTATAGAAGTAATTGATTAAAATATTGTAATATTATATATATATATATATATATATATATATATATATATATATATATATATATATATATATATATATATATATATATATATATATATATATATATATATATATATATATATATATATATATATATATATATATATATATATATATATATATATATATATATATATATATATATATATATATATATATATATATTAATCTCACCTGATTATAAAGGTATAGTAGTATGCCACGCGTCGTGAACTCTTGTGTTCACCGGCGTTGTAGGCGTTGTAGAGGAGGGGGTCTACCTGAAAGGTATTATGATGCTTAGTGAGTAGCGGAGTTTTAGAAATAACAAGTATAGAGAGAATAGGTGTAGAGAATAAGATATCTGACCCTCTAGTGAAATATGGTATTTATAATGTGCCCCTGGCGTAGGGCCAACGGTCACTTTGCATTGAGCTGGATTGTCAGGCCGAACACAAGTAACTGACAGGGTATACATCGCATAGGGAAGACTAACATGTGGTCTTCACCCTGGTCTAACTGCGCTGTGATCTTCGGAAGGTGGAAGACCGGTTCTTTAGGACACGGGTTGTTACATAATGATAAGTCCCCGCGTGGGGAACACGTGGAGAACGTGGGGGAAGCGTGTGAGCTTCCCCGACAAGATAATGCTCTGCCCGACAGAGATGCCTTGTTGAGGCGCGTGCCCGACAAATGAGGATTGGGCCTTGTTGGGCTTCATCAGTATACTATTGGGTTGGGATTTCCCTGTTGAAGGGCAGGTCTCGGCCCTGTCTAGAACATGAGCCCCCAAGTTGTTGCTCGTAAGTGGAGGAGTAATGACTTAAGAGCAAGTCAAGGTGTCGAGGACCAGTTCAGAAGGTGGTAGTTTTCCGGACATATAGAATTGAGGGTCATATACGAGGCTAGGAGCGGAGGATGCTCGACAAGACAGTATGTCGGGGAGGTGGAAAGCGAACAGGCGTGCTTGATCTCCGAGCACGAAGGGGAGACGAACGAGTGCGAAGCGTCTGGTGATGCCACATGTCATAAAATTAATGCCTAGGGTGGCTAGGGGTAGGGACACTCAAGTGCCTAGGGACGCCTCGAGTCCCGTGTTAGGTTTATAAATAGGGTTGAGTCCGTTTCATTCTTATGTTTCCCTTCTTCCGTTCAAGGCGTTCTCTCTTCCCTTTTCGCGCTCGTCCTCTCTCTGCTCCAAGAAGTTTGTCGTCTGCCTCTGTCTCGTCCTTCCAAAATCGTCGTACCAAGAAAGTCACAACCACTTTACTCTTATTTTTTTTCTCCATTTTCCAATGTTTTTTTCAGTGGACTTGATGAAGGTCTCGGGAAAACTATGAAGTTTCTGGCGAATACGCCAGAACTTCTTTGAATTGGTACTATTTTTGATGAAGCCCCCAGGGACGTAGGATGAGTGATTCAAGGGTCTAATGAAGGTCCTGTGGAGTTGGGATGAGATTCCCGGGGACATAAGATGAATGTCCCGAGGACCTGATGAAGGTCTCGAGGACCTGGGAAGGGATCCCAGGGGACATTAGATGAAAGTCTCAAGGACTCAATTCTCTCTTGTCGAGGCGGGGGAGACCCTCCCCTTAGGGGTGCCCCTCTCTTTGCCCTTTCACTTGATCTGCGGTGGAAGGGTGGACTTGATCTGGAGAGTCGAATTCACTGTTTTCCTCTGCATTTTAAGTAAAGATGGTTTCATGGATTGAGGGGGTCGTTGATATTGACAATGAGCCTGATTCCCCGGTAGCGCAGACTGGCGAAGAGCGAAAACAGACTACCGCGGATTGGGCCAGGCAGGAGCCCCTGAGTATTTCTTCTTGCTTTGTCGTGGATGAATCTGACGCCTATGCCACGGTCGAGGACTATTGTGAGGGTTTCCCCATGAATTAGCAGGTGTATAAACCCCGAGCAAACCATCGGATATGTTCGGGTTTTAAGGGGATGAGGTTCCCTATGTATGAATTTACTTTTTGAGAAGCGGGCTTACGATCGCCCTTTACTGATTTCCAACAGGGAGTGTTTGACTGACTGCGGCTGGCGCCCTCACAACTACACCATAATGTGATCGGGTTCATGCATGCGTACAAGCTTGTCTTCCAGTATCTCAATGCCAGAGCCACACATACTCTTATCTTCCGCATCTTCCATCTTCAACGACAAACACTCAAGGGTCGATATAGCTGGGTGTATCTAAAGTAGCCGAGGAGACTGTTTCAGGCATATCTAGATTCCATCCGCACTTTCAAAGACCAGTACTACGTTCTCAAGCCCGTCATCTATACGGTCGTAGACTCACTTTTCGACCTCGAGGTATGGGAGAAAGACGGAATGTCGAAGGAGGTCTTAGTGCCAAAGTTCCTGTTGACATAGACGGAGGAGCATTTTGATAAGGGTACGGACAACTACATAGTAAGGTCGGGCTCGTGGATGCTGGTGACCAGGCAGCCTATTAGAAGCTAGTCGCGTTTGTTTCCAGCTTCACTCCCGCTAAGTGTGTGACGTCGGATGGGAATTTTATCCTCGACTCTAACGGGGAGGTTCTTTGGGAGTCGCAGTTTATTAACACAAAGGCCCACCTCGAGTGTGCGTCCGAGGAGGAAGCCTTGCAGTTTTTAGGTAGCGGGTACTCTTCTTGCTCGGGCTCTCT